GAAACCCACCAGTATCAATACCCATCAGCAAGCTTCGAGTGCTCAGCCTCAGCTCCCTCCTCGGGCTCTTCGATTTGCAAGTTTTCAAAGTGGTTATGAAATTTTTCAGTCTCGGAGTCATCATCTTCGTCTCCATCATTTTCTTCTTCCAAGGAGAAGAAGTCGCCTGGTTGTTGGTCCGGTCGAAGTTGGAGGCAGAGCAGTGAGTGAGGGGAAACAACGATAGAAGAGGAGGCGGAGGCGAAGGCGGAAACGGGAGAAGAGAAGAGGGAAAAGTGAGAGGTGGAGACGAGAAATGGAAAAATTAGGGCTAATGATAAATAGTTTGATTTTGAGGAGGTTTGGGACTTTTGGCCACGTCTGTTTCGTTGAACGTTGCAAAAAACATCATTTTTCGCAGTGGACACCTTTTCGCAACGTGAACTGAACGTTGCCAAAAGGTTACTTTTCGCAACGTTCATTGAACGTTGCAAAATGTCACTTTTCGCAACGGTCAGTGAACGTTGCGAAAGTTGACGTTTCGCAACGTTCAATGAACGTTGCTAAAAGTGACGTTTCGCAACTTTCAACTGAACATTGCCAAACGTTGCGAAAGGTCACTTTTCGCTACGTTCATTTGAAAAACATTGTAATAGGTCATTTTAGCAACATTCACTCACATGAACGTTGCAATTGACCCTTTTAGAAACATTCAATCAATGAATGTTGCATAGTGAGGGGAAACAACGATAGAAGAGAAGGAGGAGGCGAAGGCGGAAACGGGAGAAGAGAAGAGGGAAAAGTGAGAGGTGGAGACGAGAAATGGAAAAATTAGGGCTAATGATAAATAGTTTGATTTTGAGGAGGTTTGGGACTTTTGGCCACGTCAATTTCGTTGAACGTTGCAAAAAACATCATTTTTCGCAGCGGACACTTTTTCGCAACGTTAACTGAACGTTGCCAAAAGGTTACTTTTTGCAACATTCAATGAACGTTGCAAAAGGTCACTTTTCGCAACGGTTAGTGAACGTTGCGAAAGTTGACGTTTCACAACGTTCAATGAACGTTGCTAAAAGTGACGTTTTGCAACTTTCAACTGAACGTTGCCAAAAGTGACATTTCGCAACAAGTCTCACTTTTAGCAACGGTCCGCGAACGTTGCGAAAGGTCACTGTTCGCTACGTTCATTTGCAAAACATTGTAATAGGTCATTTTAGCAACATTCACTCACATGAACGTTGCAATTGACCCTTTTAGCAACATTCAATCAATGAATGTTGCATTTTAAATGTTGCAAAAACTCATTTTTGTTGTAGTGATTGACTCACTCATCCTTGTTCAATCAATGAATATCAAGATATAAGTAATTTCTATTATGTTCTTTTCTGTAAAAAATAAGAAAAGTTAAGGTATCAAAGAAATATTTGACCTTTAGAAAACATTATGCATTATCACAATTTTACTCTTTGACTTTGAAGTTGTGTGTTGATATATCCTATATTAAAAGCATAGTTTTAAATAGAGCCACTGGTATAAATTCAAAAATAAAAGATAATCTTTACATTTTCTATGTTTGTATGTGTTGTTTCATTTTAATATAATAAATTTGTTCATTGTATTTTCTTTTAATAGGTTTGTAGGTTTTGAAAGTGAAGAAAGTGAATAGGCTTAGAGGTTTGAAAAATGAAAGGTAAAAATGTGGGAATTGAATACGTGACTTCATGTGTTTATGACACCTCTTTATTTTAGGTGACTTATTTTTACCTATTAAGTAAGACTTCTCCTTGGTCATTCATCATCAACACAACAATCACAATTCTCTCATTTTCTATTCTTACATTCTCACTCATTTTCTTTGAGAGATTCTTGTGCAAAGAAGTGTTCTTTTAGTGGAGTTTTGGGCTCAACTATTTGTGCAAAGTTTGTTTGAGCTATACGACGAATAGTCGGGCTGTTACATCCTGGAGTCGACAAGTCATAAAGAAGTTCTATTGTAGTTGTACCGTGTTTTAGGCTTTGCCAACAGAAGAGGGTTTGAATCCCCTTATAGAGAGCAAGATATCTGCGCCTCAATCCGTCTAATTATTTTATTTTCCTATTTATTTTGTAACTATATTTTCTATTATTGAAATTTCACCAAGAGTATATACTTGCTCTAATGATGTCTTTTACATTGTTTTTTTGACGTTAGTTGAAGAGGATGTTTTATTAATATTATGATTTTAGTTATACATAAAGACTAAAAAAATATAAAAGTTCCAAAAACATTTAATAAGGATAAATATTTAGTGGATGAATTTAGAATGATAAATTTTATTTGGATTTATTTATGTCTATTTAAGTAAATTTATATAAGACTAAAAACTTATCCCCTGTTTGGGCTCCATTTTATCAAGAAAATATATTTTGGAATAGTAAAAAGTTTTAGATATGTGTGTAAAATTATTCTATGAGAGAATGTTGGATTGAAAATGAGTGTTGAAAAAATGAATTTTGAGAATAATGAGTTTGGGCTTAATATATCAAGTTTGTAGAAGTGGATAAATATACAAGAATGTTGGATGAAAATGACATTTTCATTTGTTTTTAATAGAATCTATAAAATCTAGTCTTGTAATCAATTTACATTAGCAAACGTTAAATAATCACTCAAACATAAGAGTTTGAGAATGTTTAACCTAACCCTACAAACGCCTTACCGTTTATGAATTATTATAATTAGTTTAACCACTTTTTATCTACATATTTTATAAGATTTTTAAGTACTATTTATTGATCCACCACTCATTTATAATTATTTATACCCTTGTTTGATCTCAATTATTTTCAAAATATATTTTTCTCTCTCTTCTTTTCAACCATCTTTTCTTCTATAAAATAATATTACACGCAAACAAAATTTTTTTTTATTTTTTAACCACACATTCTCCATTAATCTATTATTCCAAAATGCATTCTATAAAAAAAAAAAAAAGAGGTTCGACTCTATAATTTAAATCATTTAGACATAGAAAGAGCAAATGGCAATACAAACTCGGTGAACCTTGCTTGACTCAACATTATTTATCTCAGGAGGATTCAAATTCTCTTACAAATTGAGTTAGTGACAAGGGTAAAAATGCAAAGTGACAAAAGTTTTAGTGTTCAGTTCCTACGGAGTAAGGACAAAATGGTTCGTTCGATTTATTCCTATGACTAGGGATTGCGAAATGCCTTAATCTTCCCTCTTGTTTCTTCATGTAGCCCTCACATAAGAACTCCATGGAATACTTATCTTCCACAACCCTATTCACATCGTGCACAAAAACATCAGTTTCTCCATCCTCCCTATTCCGTGCCATCATCCCGGCCGTATATATCGCAGTCATCCTCCCCGGTGCCTCCTCATGGTATCCGGTAGGGGCATCGACCATGATTAAATCCCACTTTATTTCATAAACTTCTCTAGGCAAGCTCTTCAAGGCTAGTTGGCAAATGGAGTATTTAGGATCAGAAATGGCAGTGCATTCAGGCCCTTTGCCTACTTCCATCAAGTCATTTGCCTGGTTCACTTTACTATCATAAGTGACATGGTATGACTCTAACATGGGGAATCTTCTCTTGATTTGCTCAATCCATGCTTCATCTTCCTCTAAGAAAATTGTTCGTCCACCGTAGTTGAGTGAATGCCACATGAGGCTATCGTGGCCGAGGCCAAAGATCAAGAAGTTGCAAGGGGACTTCTTATCTAAAACCCTGGATGTTACTGATATTTCTTTGACAGTTTGTTGTGGAGTGATGGTGGATGTTGTGTAATGAATCATGGCCTGAGCAAGTGAAGGCGGGATTTTGGTGCAAGTAGGGGAACAATTTGTTGTTTTCACATTTCTTGAATCACTTGGGTTCAAGGATGAGATCAATCTCGATCTTAACACGAACAAAAGAAAAACAGATAGAACAATTCCAATGAGAAGAAGCTTAAGATTGAAAGGGCTTTGTGCTTTCGTTCTCATCTTTGATAATCAAGCAAAGAAACTTGCAAAATAGACAGGATCTGAATTGCATGGAAAAATAAGGATTAAGTCATATATATCTATTGTGACGAAGACAAAAGAACTTAGAAAATTTTGGTTGAAGCAAAATGGTTGCTGGTGGATCTGCAAGTTGGTGGAAATTTTTAGGTGATGGAGATGGACCATTCTTTTTGATATTGATAGAGTTGGTATCTTAATGATTAAACAGTTGATTAATTAGCTCTTTTACTTTTTGAAGGTCCGTTCATGGTGAAGAGAAGATTGGGACGAAACAAATTAATTAGGTAGGGCTATAACATCATACGTTTAAATGTGCAATCATGCATGCCTAGAAACGGCTTGGTACTCAAGAAGCTCGACATGTTGAGTGAGATTGCGATAACCATACAGAGTTTTAGAACATGTCTGAAAAGTATTTACAAACTATTTAAATTATAAAGAGACATAAATGAGTGTTGGATAAGTGAATAATATTTGTATGTCTCGATATATAAAGCACTGTTTGGTAGAAATTAAAATCCAAATTTTAATCTAAATCAAAGTCATTCACCGATTCTAAATACACATTTTATGAGATCCACAACTTTTCAACCAAATATTTCATCAACTTTTATTAAAATATAATAAAAATCAAATTTTAATTTTCACGAAACAGAGACATAAACAATTGCTTGAGTGCTTATATACCGTTTATACACATGAGTTTAATTTAATTAGTCACCGATCAAATATTCTTGCAACAAAAATACGCATCTCAAGCCATTTGTGTTTTTGAATATTCAAAAAATGACATCGTTGCAACAACTAAGTGCGTGTTTGACATTTTCAGTATTTTCAGTGAAAACACTCAAAACACGAGAAATAACTATTTTAAAAAATATATTTAAAAAAAAATTATCTTGGTAGGAACTATAATTCATACAAGAATAGGATCACTGGTGCAACAACATCAGTTTAGATATGTCACCACGTAATAAGTTCAATGAAAGGTAAAATTAAGTGACTCACGCGTATCTCATTTAATGAATCTTATTATCATATTAGGATTGTAGCACCACATTACTCCTTATATAGAGATTGCACAAATAACTATAAATCAAAAAGTCCTCTTCTTATGGCATATGTTCATGTATGTGCACGAATTGGTGGGATAATGCAGTTGAATTAAACTACTTGTACACTCTTTGTGTATATCGAGTTTGACATTTCAAGGTGTCAAAATCTGTGTCATTCATTGTTTAAAGTGTTGTTAAAATCAATTTATAAAAAATTGTTACCCCACAACAATGTCAAACTTGATGTACATGTATCAAAACTGAATGCAATTAGGAATAAATTTTACATGAATAAAGATAGAAATATTAACCATTAATACATAAAAATTTGGATTATAACTCATAACAAAATTGACATTCTAAAATGAAATTCAAATCTTGTAAGAATGTTAACTTCTCTCATTTTATACACACACGACATAGGCTCCATCTTTCTCTTACGGGCGATACTCCGAGTAGAAGAAACCTAGTCCAATTAGTCAATTAAGGATTTCTTATTTTTCAAGAATTTTGTAAACTTTTAATGTTAACATTAATTAGTTTCAAATAAAATTATGAGCTGAACTATCTCGAATATTTTTATTTTTTTTTTGAATTTACGTACAATATATTTTATTATGTAAGTGTGTGGTTCAAAAAATGAGTATGAAAATTAAAGAGTTTTAAAATAATAATTGTTAACTTGCGGATTTAATCGAGGTAACTCTATTTTACTTCAGTGTCAATTTAGTAATTATACTTTAATTTCGTGCAAATGAACACTTTAAATTGATTTTAATTGTTCCGGCCAATTTGGTCGCTTGAACTAATGAAAATTGATGAAATGGCAATTCGTATTTATAATTTAAATAATTTATAATATATTCATTTACTAGCTGGCGACAGGCTGTCACCAACATTGTTCTCTTCTCGCTCTCAGACACCTCCATTCTACCTCTCATTTTTTCTTTGAATCTTTTCTTTCTCTGTGATTTCCTGCTTTTCTTTGGCGAGCTTTGGATTTTCCAATTCAGCTCACTGGATCATAGATTTACTAATCGTAAGCTTCTTCCTGATCTGATTTTCTTCTTCCTTTTTTTTTTTTTTGAAAAAAAAAAAAAATTAAGCTTCTGAATTTTAAGCTGTACTAATAGCATTATTGATAGTTTTTAGACTTAAAATGTCCTATCCGTTGCTTTTAGTTTTTCAGAGTAAGAATCGGTGGCACCTGTTAATTTAGTCCGTACAAGGTTTTAAGACTTCAATTAGAGAAGATTTAATTTTTTATTTTTTTCCCTGACTATTTTGCAGGTTAAGTTATATTTGACTGGACAGAAAAGGATCAAATGTTTTTCTAAGTATATGCATGTTTACTGTATAATTTAACATTTGTTTAAGCGTTTATGGATATGATTTTCGGCTTTGCAATGTTGTGAGCAGGAAATAATCAATGCTAGTTTCAATTTTATGGAAATAGGTGTTTATATTCCATAAAGTTGGTAAAAGGGGTTAGAATAGATATTAATTGAGGTACTCAGGAGTGGACAAAGTAGCAATTGTGCCGTGAGGGAACTAGCACTTCGGCATGTGTTGAATGGATTTTCATTTGGCTGCAAGAGAGCTCAATTGTTGCTTGTAATGAATTTTAAGAAATTTTTGATAATTGATATAAGGACTGGTCAAGTGTATATTTCCAAAATTTTATATGTTTGGCCAGTTATCATTCTAGTTGCTCTCTATCCGTCCCTAAATTTATGTCATGGACAGAGTGAATAATATACGAGTCGTATTGTACTCCAAAGTAGCTTTTAGTTTCTTCTGGAAAGATGTTTTGTGAACCATTATGGAATCTGGGCACACAGAACCTTTATTTTCCATCAGTGAAATTGTTTACTAATAGTTGTTAAAAGATGCATCTAGGCATGACCCAGGTGCTTTTTTAGTAGCTAAGTTCAGTGACTTTAATGAAGTGCTATAGCAAGCTTTATTAAGTCTTTGTTTGGAGCCTCATTCTCCAAAAGCTCATTTCCCCTCAAACTCATTTTCAACCACACATCCTCCCAAATAAAATTATTTTGCATGTAAACTCAAGACTTTTCCAAACTGTTTAACCACATATTCTTCAAAAACATCAATATTAGAAAATCTATTTTTTTCATAAAAATGGAGCTCAAACATTGGCTATGTTTTTGGGCTTTGTGTCCAAATTCTACTGAACCAAGGATTTTATTTTCTTTTCTTATATGGCAGTGACTTATTGGTGACTAAATTTTGATTAATTGATGAAATGCATATAAGAATATTTTATGAAACTCATTTAGTGCTGATTTACGTAAGATAATTGTGACATTAAAGGATACTTGCAGGAATGTACTTAGCATTGGTTCAGTTTCTGAATTTGCTTATTACATTGTGCACGTATGTTTTTTTATTTTTTGGAAGGGGGGGTATTAATTTACACTTCACTATCATGGTGCACGGGGTCCACTTGAACCCCAGAGGCTTTTGTGCATGGGCACACTTGACATTTAATACTGAATCTGGATATTTGATATTTGATGTCCTTTCTCTTTATCATTTTATTTTTTAACCAGTTAAATTTTCTTGATGATTTCTGTTGTATTTTCATTTCTGTTATGCTACTTTTGAAGGAGATTCTCTTGGTTGGCATTTTCCGTTGCTTCATTTCTATTAATTTATCACATCATAATTTTGTTATTTTGCTAGAATTTTTTAGTTGATTGTAAGGCAGTTTAGTTTTATTTACTGAATTTTTGATATGTTAGTGCAATTACTTATCATTGTATTTAATGAAGTGTGGTGCATCTCTGGTCTTGTTATAATAGTTCTATGCTTTTGACCTTATATTTTTTTTTTTTGTTTGCAAAGAGCAAGGATGTCTGAACTTGCAAAAGTTGTCAGTTTAGAGTTTCCAATGGGCTAAAAGTTAACGTTCTTGATGAAGGAAACTTTAAGATAGTTGGAAGTGCAAGGATTTCTCTTTGTTGATGATAGCTGAAAGCTCTCAAGGATGTCTGAATTTGCAAAAGTTGTCAGTTTAGAGTTTCCACCAGGCTAAAAGTTCACGTTCTTGATAAAGGAAACTTTAAGATAGTTGAAAGTGCAAGGATTTCTCTTTATTGATGATAGCTGAAAGCTCTCAAGGATGGAAAATAAGACAGCTTTCCTGTTGCTTTCTCCTGATCCTTGCTTGAGTAGTATCTAGTAAGATATCTTGAGTTTTCGTGTATAATTGTTTTGGGCTCAACAGGATGGTTCCTTAATATTTTTTGAATTAGCTCTACTTGCTATCGGGCATTGAGGAAGGGATCCTTTATTCAATAGAGAAATTTCTTGTGTCCACACTGGCGGATAGTATGCGTAGAATCTGTGAATTGGGTAATGCCCCTGTCTAGATTTCTTGCTGATGCCCTTGGTGTGGTGACGATATGTCTTGTCGTTGTTCTGGTCCTTCTGGGTATATTCTGCATCGTGTATTCGTTTTACCTCCATGATCGGATCCATGGTCAAGGTCTTGTTCGGCTCAACTATTTTAGTGGTCCTTGGATTATCAGAATTACATTCATCTTTTTTGCAGTTTGGTGGGGTTTTGGAGAGATTATTCGGTTAAATCTATTGAGACGGGAGGGAAGAGTCCTGAATTCCCTCAACTTGAAACGTCAGAAAACTGTTTGCAAATGCTATGTTGTGTCAAATCTCGGGTTTGCAGAACCATGCCTGATCCTCACACTCATATTTCTACTTCGTGCATCCTTGCAGAAGTCTGGAACATTAAGCCGGAAGTGGAATGCAAAAACAGCTGCTTATGTGCTTCTTTATTGTCTCCCAATATTTGTTCTTCAGGTCATTGTAATTCTAATTGGAACACGGCATAACAAGGAGAGTTTTGTGCACAGATTACCTCCATATTTCACCAAGGCTTCTGCTTTTTCTAAAACAAAGGACAATGATAACGTTGCCCTCTGCACTTACCCTCTGTTGAGTACCGTTGTCCTTGGTCTTTTTGCCTCCCTCCTAACAACCTACTTGTTCTGGCTTGGGAGACAAATTCTTCATTTGGTCATCAATAAGGGTTTGCAAAAGAGAGTGTATACACTAATCTTTTCTATTTCTGGTTTTTTCCCATTACGAGTTCTTCTTCTTGGATTATCTGTGCTGTCAGAGCCGGATAAACTTTTGTTTGATGCCATTTCATTCTTAGCTTTTCTTTCCTTTTTATATTGTGCGGTGGTGGCCATCTGCATGCTCGTGTACCTCCCCATTGCAGATTCTTTAGTCTTGAGGAGTCTACAAAGAGATATAGAGGCTAGGAGGTTTATTGATGAATATGATTCACTAATTCATAATGAAGGCCCTTCAGGAACAAGTATGTTCACTAGTCCTGGTAGAAATTCGGCTTCCTTGGAAAGGAGTGGATCAATATCCTTTCGTACAATGGTAAAAGATGAAACCTCAGGGGCATTTGTGGAACCGAACCTATATACTCCTAGTCAGCCTTCAACACCGTCCGGGTCACCTAGACTTGTTGGCTGGCCTATGCTCTAACCTGCACAACTTCATGGATCTTAAAAGCTACTGTGGAGGGTATAACATTTTTGGGTTGAATGAAAACTCTGTAAAGGATTGCTGATTTTGTTTTGTTATTTTGACATTATGACATAGGTTTGCCTGTTACCCACCTATACCTTTTTTAGGTGGATCTCTTATATCTGTATCTATCAACAGTTGACAGTTTTATAACAACTAAGTCTGCTTTATATGTGAATAATTTGTCTTCAGCTTAGTAATGAGTGTGTTATTGTTCCATGAAGATTTGAAGATAGCTTCTACTAGAGAGTGACTTGAATGGTACTTTGGTCTCCCCTCATTGTTTTTTGCATTCTGAGTCTCCAAGTTTGAAGAATTGTTAAAAACTCTGTTGTTAAGCCACGTGAATGGCACACAACCTCTTCTTTTAAGAGCATATTAAGGCCTGTTATCTTAGTGCCTGTTTGATATTACTTTTATGAGTGTGGTAAAAAGTATATTTACTTGCTTATTTAAGCAGTGCCAAATATGCTTTTTTATTTATTCAAAAACAAAAGAAAAAGAAAAAGAAAAATAAAGAATAAAAAAGTAATATCCAAATCTTTTGAAGGATGGATATGATAGTAAAAATTAATTTTTTATGGATTCAACATCCAAATTATGGAATTACACTACACTTTTATAAAGAACTTTAAATTTCGAAATTAAGGGCTTGTTAGGTAGAGATTAAAATTAGATTAAAATTAAAAAACTAGCCTTTATTGTTAATTTTTATTAGACGAGTGAGATTTAATAACGGTTATATTTTTAATTTTTAATTGAATTTTAATCATTCTCAAACATGATCTAAGTATTTAAGTGTATAATAAAAGATATTGACTTCTTTTTCTAATTTTGTGACCAGTTATTAATCTTCAATAGTTTAATCTCCTGATTAAGTAAAAACTAAAAATGGAATTTATAATATTTTCTCTGTGCTTAATGCTTATCTTTAATGTTGTTACGTCTCGTTATCGAGGCACCTCGTCATTATGGCTCCAAGTTAAGATCACTTGATCGTCCACGTGGAACTATGAGTCAAAGCTGACAAAGTCAACAAAGATCCCAATTTGTCAAAGTAAAAAAGTCAATGAATAAGCCAAATCTCTCTGTCCTAAAGCTTTCATGCCGAAGACCTTCAATCCGAAACTCCCTTTGGTCGAAGTTCTCGTTGGCTCTCAAAGGATATGCATGCAATCTATAGAAATGATTGATGTAACGTTTGTAATAATAAATGTTTGGATTGTCAACCTAAGGTGTAGGGTGACTGATCCGTTGTCAATTTATTAAATGCAAAGCGGATAGTGATATGAGACTTCGACCTGGGGATGTAGCCACGTGATTCTTATCCAACGGTTACCATTTCGGTTAGAACTCCACAAATAGCAACTTTTGTAATATTTGAATATAGTGCAACTCTTTACACTTTAAGCCACGCATGATCTTCTTTCTCGCTTATTTCACATTTATTTGCTTTAGTTTATACTATCTTGTTTTGGTTGAGTTGTTTGTGGTTGTTTATTAATGTGCAATCATCTTTGAACATATCTAAACATTTTTGTCTCGCATCATAAAGCATCTCCCATGTCCATAAATAGCAACCTTCTCTGTCCAAGTCTCCAGTTAAAACATGTTGGAATTTGTTTGAGTGGACGCGAATGAGCTCGACATTTGTTGTCCACGTCACACTTACAAAAAACGAGGATAATGGATTGACGCCGTTTATAGGAAACCACACATTCAACCACAAAGAACATGTGGAAAAAGCTGATAAGGAAATATATTTTGGGACAAGTTTCCTTCCTTTGAAGAAAAGGGGTTGTTTTGTAAGAAAGAACAACTAAAAACTCTAATAGAAACTACTTGTAAGGGCTTGGGTTGTTCATTGAAAAATGAATATCATTTGCAAGGAAAAGACTTTCAAGAAAGTTGTCTTTGAAAAAAATAAACGTTAACATGAGTTCTGTTAATGAAGAGTCAGTGCCTCGGAGGGCTAGGGAACACCCTGAAGAAAGAGAAACCTCACGTGCTGCTCTTACAACCCGCCATCGATTTCATCAACAACATCAACGGGTTGGATCAAAAGGTGAATCTAGAATAGCTGCCGACTCATCGAGGAGGTGACCACTATGGCCACAAACATGAGGGATATCACCCAACAGAATATTGCTATGCAAGAATTGCTTAGGAATATGCAAAGTCAGGGAGGATACCCAATTCCCCCATATGCGGCTCAAGAAAATGCTCACCACCACGACCCTTCCCTACTATCGAGGCGAAGAAGAAGTTCAAAACCTAAAGGCTGAATCACCAACACTACACTAAGGAAGAGGCCTCTCAAGAGAGGGAATTTGAGGTCGACACTTCCACCAACAACACCACTAATCGGTCCCATGAATCATTCAAATTTCCTCCAAATTTCAAACTAGAAGATATAAGAGATCTACCTAAAAATAGGCGTCAGAGGAGAGTAGGGCACGCCTGGAACCAAGCAGGTCCGTCCCAACCACCTCAAGGACCTCAAGTAAGAGAGAATGAAGTTTCGAACAAACAACAAAGGTCTTGCGACCTCGACGACGATGATAACAACTTGCTATTCTCTCAGGAACTTAGGGACTCCCCTATCCCAAGCTACTTCGTGCTTCCTAAAATTTCCAAGTACGATGGAAGAGGTGATCCCACAAATCACCTCAACAGCTTCAAAACCCTTATAAGCCTAAGGGGTTCATCCTCTGTTATGAAGTGTAGAGCCTTCCACTTGACTCTAAGTAGGGCGGTTGAAGTATGGTACATCAGACTTCTAGAAAGATGTATCAAAAGTTGGCTAGACTTCAAAAATGCTTTCCTTGAGTGCTTCACAACTATTAAGGAGGGTGAAGGGCCTATATAACATCTCCAAGACATGAGGCAGCAGTAATGAGAGTCATTGAAAAGCTTCTTGTCCTGTTTTACTGGTGAAATAACCTACTGTATACAATTTACCGACAGGGAAGCACTATCAGCCTTGAGGGAAGGGTTTGACATGAACTCTCTCTTTTAGAAAGAATTGGAAAACAAAGATCCTACCAGTTATGATGTCTTACTAGAAATGATAAGGAGCGAGATTATCAATGAAGAATTGAAAGAGCATCGCAATAAGGCCAACCAGGACTCCTACCTCCTCAACAGCGAGGGAGAGGCCACATCTTCCATTTGATAGAACACCAGGTCGGACAGGACCACCTTTAACTTAGGACATGCACTAGTTGCAGTAACGTGAAATGCAGCTCGTGCTTTGGCTTATGAGAAAGTCAACCCTAGCGTTGAGACACACCAAGGAAGGTCCAGCCAACAATTTCCTTAGAGGGGAAGGGGTACGGGGCTAAATTTTGAACCTAAAAATATGAACAAGGTACCCTTTTATTGTACCTACCACCACTCCTACAACCATAACACAGCTAACTCCATGGACATTGCCTTGCACCCACAACCTGATAATAAAAAAAGTAATAGACGCCAAGAGGAGATGTGCCTCCTCCTAGGCAGGATTGACAAACTAAGAGAGTTGAGGCTAGGCGTTCATTTGAAATGTCACTTCTTAAAGGCGAAAAAATGATGGGGAAAGGCATAGGGAATACCAAAGACAAAGGGGAAGCCTCCAGCTAACACTGGCCACGAGCTCATTCAAGAAATAGATGTAATTGGTTAAAGTAAAGAAGTCAAAGAAGAAGCCGGATCTCTCCATCCCCAAGCTCTTCATGCCGAAGACCTCCAATTTGAAGCTCCCTTTGGTCCAAGCCCTCGCTAGCTCTTAGAGGATCCACGGGTAATCTCTAAGAATGATTAATGTAACGTTTGTAATAATGTATATCAGGATGTAGGGTGGCTGACCCATTGTCAATGTATTAAATGAGTAGCGGCTAGTGATTTGAGGTTTCGACCTAGAAGATGTGGCCACGTGGTTCTTGTCCAACAAACACTACTTCGATCAGAATTCCATAAATAACAACTCTTGTAACATTTGAATCTAATGCAACTCTTTACACTTGAAGCCATACTCGATCTTTTCCCTCGCTTATTTCACACTTGTTTGTTTGAGTTTAGATTATATTGGTTTGGTTGAGTTGTTTGTGATTGTTTATTAATGTGTAATAATCTTTGAACATATTGTCGGCGTTTAAACATTTTTGTTTCGCGTCATAGAGTATTTCCCACATCCATAAATAACAACCTTCTCCGTCCAATTCTCCGGTCAAAATATGTTGGAATTTGCATGAGTAGATGCGAGTGTGCCCCGCATCTTTTGTCCACGTCACCTTTACAAAAAAACGAGGTCACCAAATGTCATAATTTGTATGTGCAATGATGTACAAGTATACCATGTTACCCCTTGTTTCTCTTTGATATAAGGAGTGGAAAATTCTTCGAGAAAAAAATTGAAACATGAGCAATATGTGTTCCATGACAACTAATAAATTCTATTAAAGAACTAAATGTGTCCCGTTCTTTTTTTTTTTTAGGGTGTGTTTGATTGATTTTATCTTCTATGGAAAAGTTATTTTTCCACCCAAATTTTTATTTTTGGGATATTTGATTGACATTTTTTTTATGAAAAATATTTTTCAACTTTTGATCATGTGACTATATTTTACTTAGCCCCTGTTTGGCCCCCATTATTTTACATTTTTTATGGTTGAAAATTTTTGGAATAGTGATTGATTGGAGAATGTGTGGTGGAAAGATAATGAAAAGTTTTAGATTTGTGTGTAATATTATTTTATTTGATGAATATGTGGTTGTAATGAAGATAGAAAAATTTAATATAATGTAATGTAATTTAATGGGAGCCAAACAAGAGGCTTAAAAACAAGATAAAAGGGAGAATGTGTCGTTGAAATTTTTTTGATTTTATTTGATGAATGTGTGGTTGAAATGAAGAGGTAAAAAAATTTAATATAATGTAATGTAATTTAATGGGAGCCAAACAAGAGGCTTAAAAACAAGATAAATACTTTCTTTAGGGAGGGATTGTTTTTATTTTCCAGCTAATTCACTCTCCCATCTATCCTCTCTCTTTCATCTACTTACGAGTAAAAAGTTGACAAGTATAATATTTTATAAGTTGAAAATTAAATTGATCAAACACATTTAATTAATAATTTCTATACAAATAACATCTAGACGGTTATTTTATTTTCGTACAAATTTGATACTGACAATAAATTTTTTTTTTTTTTTGTTGTTGAAACTAAGATTCTACCTGAAGACACGGTTTGCGACATGGATGGGTCTGTGGGCTACGATGTCATTAAAATCTTTGTTGAAATGAAGATTATTAATAAAATATTTTCATGTCTACCTGAAGGCACCGCGTATGAAATGAATGGATATGTGGGCTACATGGTTTTCATTAGAGTTTTTTTGACTCTCGTTTTCAACCTTCATTTCTTGATAGAGTTATAGACGATCGCCATCCTCGCTATGAAATTGCCTTCAGAATTTTTAATCGAAAAATTCGGTAAAAATTAAAATCGAATTAAAATTGAAAAATTAATCGTTATTGTTGACTTTTATTAGACGACTGAAATTCGATGACGACTATATTTTCAATTTCAATTGGATTGTAAACTTAGCCAAACATGCTCTAAGTAGTCACGTAGTTTTTACATGATGACAGTGATCAAAATATTAATGAACATGCATTCCATAAGCTTCAATAAGTAAAACACTGAATAAATGGAGATTGAAGAAGTTAAAAAATGATGATGTTCTTTTAGCAAATAATAATAATTTTTATCTCGCAATGATTTGATGATGAACATCTCATTCTAATCCAGTGCTCTTTGAACCATGCAGAAAGGTTTCCCATCACACGGCTCACCAACTTGATCTTGCGGCGGGATTCTAGGTTTACCTAATCTCATCAGAGATAGAATTATTCAATTTCGTCTAATCTCAAACTCGACGTGAATATTGATAATTTAGAAAAATTTCTGGCTCGATTCTTAGAAATCCTTGATGGGGTAGAAATGGGGAGGGTGGTCCCACCATGTTGCCATCCCTAATTTTTGTTAGTGTTTGTTTTTTAAAATTTTATCAATTTTTCAATTTAAAATAAATAAATAATATATATATATAATAAAAATTTGTCAAACCTTTCCTCTATTTCTTTCCAACACGTTTGACACGTATATGTGATAGAAGCCGAAATTGGACCGTTGATCAAAATCCAGTACCCAATGGCGGGTCAAATTTCACGCGCTTCCCATTTATTTCTTTCTCTAATGATCTCACCTATAAACAGGGAAAAAATACACAATAAACCCGTCATCTTCAATACGACTACGATGGGCAACTCATCGGAATACAGTAACAATGGTCAAACCAACCATCCACGCTTCCTCCCCAAGCGCATAATTCTACTCCGTCACGGCGAGAGTGAGGGCAACATCGACGGCACCGCCTACACCACCACCCCGGACAACAAAATCCCCTTAACATCCCAAGGCATTGACCAGGCCAAGAAGGCTGGGTGTCAGATCAGGCAAGTTATATCCGATTCCGGCGAGTGTTCCAACTGGAAAGTGTACTTTTATGTGTCCCCATACGAGAGGACCCGCTCCACACTCCGCGAAATCGGCCGGTCCTTCCCTAAGAAGAGAGTGATTGGAGTGAGGGAAGAATGTCGGGTTAGAGAACAGGATTTTGGGAATTTTCAGGTGGCTGAACGGATGAAGGCTATTAAGGAGACTAGAGAAAGGTTTGGAAGATTCTTTTATCGATTCCCCGAAGGAGAGTCCGCCGCCGATGTGTACGATCGCGTTTCAAGTACGTTTTATGATTACCATAATTGTTTTTTGTTTATCGTAGTACCTTTTGCTTCAAACGTTGTACTATCTGTTTCTTTTTGGCTATAAATAAGTCTGGCAGAGGCCAAAACTAATTATTAGTTTTTCTTGATGTTTTCGTTTTGGGTAAAATTAGAATGCATGTCGATGGTTGTTTTATTTTCCCTTTTATTGGCTTTAGTTCAATAAACACATGATCCTACTTTTCTTCCCACTGGTTTAATGGTTTATTGTATTTACATATTTTATATTGGTGGCTTTTTTGTTTCTAGTTGACAAAAGTTATGTTATGTAAATGTCTTCTCCAAAATCAGATGACGTCATTCAATTTAGGGTGATGGGGAACCACTTGAAGCTTTGAAAATCAAGAGAACCTCTCTTACATAACCTGAATGCTTTCTAGGAAAAAATATCCTATAAAAACACAAGCATTCAGTAATGAATATCATTGCTGTACTAGGAGAATTAGACAATTCGATGGTACAAGCAACTGCTCAAGCAACCCGTTCTGGTCTTAGAGGTTGTCTTCCACTCAGTTCCTGGTCTAATTGCTAAACCTTTGTGTATTCTCCGTTGTGCTATGCTTTATTTATTTCTATTTTTTTTGTATGTCCTTATTCTATATTCTATTGATTATATCATGAAATTATAATTATTTTCCAATCTGCTCTCTGTTTCACTTTCTAAGTCGGTGCACTAGAATTTGATTATGCAGTCCTATTCGTTCTATCCTTTTGATTAACACTTATTGACTCTCATTAAGCTCTAGACGTATATTCGTTGGCTTTACAACGATCCATAAGAAGTGAAAAGTGAAGACTGGGACAAGGACTCAGTCATGGATCTAGACTGGAAAGACTCCCGACTTGAGAATTTCCTCATCTTAGTGCAAACAATCTTGAAATCCTCTCACCCTCCTATACCTAGCTAAGATTCTCTAGAGCACGAATAACATTCCTCTGGGGCCATTTCTTAAGCCACTAATGAACTTGGAGGCAAGTATTCAGATTCCTTGTGGGTGTCACATTTGAGTATTATATCCTTGAACTTCCTTTCTTTGTCACAGATGGTGAAGGTTGGCTTGAGGTCATACTGCCTCTCACACCAACTTATATATGGTTCAATAACCTACCTATGCAATACATTAGAATATTTCTCCTTAACCCCATATCTCAGCTAATAAAGGTAGCTGGCGTACTCAACTACAACTATAAACAATTTGCAAAAATCTCTTAGTTGACTACTTGGGTTCCATTTTAGCAAAATTAACTCGTGATTCATTTGCATGTCCTAAAAGTTTAAGTAATTATTTATCCCATGCATCCAATCCATGAAAGCATTAGGGTTAACCTACTAGCAAATTAGGGCAGGTTGACCATAATGGTCCTAGTGGCATCATTAAGGTCCTCATGTTTAGTCTAACCTTGTCAATATGCTCTGCATTCCTATCGGGTATGTATTCATGTTGCAGTGTCTAAACGAGAATCCACCTGTCATAGTCATCATTTTCGATTCATGGGCTATCATGTCTTAGGACATGCCCAATGGAGACCAATCAACATGAACTTACCAAGTACCATGATATACTCCATTGGGGTGTGTGATGTATAGAAAGACAGGTAGAATATATATGTCACAGAATTAGACATAGAAGATGCATGTGGATCCCCAAGGTAACTAGATTCTTGATGATCTATCTGACTTTCCCCGTGCATTCGTTCAGTTCTATGATCTCTTAAAAAGCTAACTGTCTCTCTACTTGCTCAATGACCATTCCGTGGAACTCATGATGTACTGCGTAATGGGTCTTGGGGATTTCGTAATACCATTATTGAATTCTTTATGTTGTTGGTTTACTAACTATAAATATGGAAGTCTTCTATAAAAGCTATGACTTCTCCCCCCACCCCACCCCACCCCAACCCAACCCAACCCAACCCAACCCAACCCAAGTGACTTGTTTTTCTTGCAATACTTTGTTGGGAATGGATACAATGGAATTGTAGAGATGTTGGAACTTGGTATTAAGAACAATGCTGTTACTTGCCTATGAACAATTCACCAATTAGGATGTATAACTTATCGGCTATTTTAACTATGTGCAATTTAGGTCGTTGGATAGTGAATTTTTTTATTGATTATGCACTTACAATTTCTATAAGTTTGTTAGAGGCTAAGTAGTCCAGATTTGACTGTTGACATATTATGTCTATTTAATATATTCTTCAATGTGAAGGATTAAATGGGGTTTGTAAATATCTTACTTTTGTTCGCATAAAGATTTTTATGATGTTTAATTTCATCTTTTAAATTGTAATCACTCAGTGGGCCTTTTTTAAATGAATAATTCACGTCTATATTATGAGCTTCTTTGGTAGAATTTCGGTGATGGGAACTACCAGTTGTCAGTGGCATTGATAAAATTTGCATGCATCACAAAAAAGGGTTGCAAATAATAAATATTAATGGAGGTTCTGCATACGGCTAAAAGTGAATATATATTGCTGTCTATCCTCAGTAGGGAACAGATATGGGCCAAACAATTGACGAAACCACCATGTTGGCTTACTGACTGATGTCAAGAAAAGGGGCTAGTGAGTGAAAAAAATAGTTTAGCCTGAAATTCCCACGGTATTTAATTTTCATATACCTGTTGAAACTTTATACTAAGAATTTTCTTCATTTAAATTCAATGATATTTCAGTTTTTTCAACCCAACCTCTTTTCCACTGAAGCCCATAACCATCAAACCATTAAAAATCCAAAACTTGCATAAGTATTGTTTATAGCTAGTGCATTTGTGCTGTGACATGATTTAACTTTATAGTTTGTCGCATTCCATCAGACTTTAAATGGATAATGGAGAGGGATCTTTCGTATCATGAAAAGTTCTTAATTTGTTTGTAGTCATGGTCTATGAGGTTTACCTGTGTTTCAATGTGTGACTGGGTCCTTCTATATTTGTAGGATAGTTTTGAGAAATCTGTGGCTTTGTCCATGCAAGTATGAATATCCGTAGTTTTTCACTTAATTCACAAGAATCTGAGCTTCCCTGCCCACAGATTGTTCAATATTCTTGTGGGATCATATGTTTCTTTAATAAAAGTGAACCGTGAAAGATGAAAAATATTAAATATATTCCGATTCAGGCAAGACTCATATCTCTCTCTCGCTCTCTCTCTCATACAAACATATCTATTTGTAATATCTGTGAACTTGTCTATACAGTCATCTACTAACTTTGCTATGTCTATGGATGTGGGAAATTGTCTTCCATGCTCTCTGCTTTCCAATTGCTGTGTCCTGAAGCCTTTCAGTTCTCTCTTCTTCACTTTTTCACCTTTCGACACCATGTAACCTGCCATGAACTCCTTTTACTACCCTCCTCCATGAGTGCCCAAGTCAATGTACATTTATTTGTCTTGTTCATGGTCATCTTGTAACAGAGACTATATATCTCAAAAATTACGTTAAATAAAGTAGGGAATACCTGCTGTTTTTTTATTTTGGAACCATAAAGCAACTTAGATCAGAAGCACATACTACTCTTGAATTCAGTAATGCTGTATCTTAATAATTTGGATCAGCTATGAATTGAGCTTTAAATGCATGTGCATTGCTAAATTTTTGGTCAATAACAAGGCTGGACCTCCTTCCTTATTTCGGAGTAGATTTTGTTGGTTTTTAATGACAGTCCACACATCATAGTATGTCAATAGGCATTTCAAGCATTTTGCTAGGCAGTTAGTTATGTAATGAACTTATCTAGGATTTCCGCTGCGATCAAACAGTAGATTTGGTGCAAACATGGAATAGCTTCTTTAACGACTATCCTTTGAAAATGAGGCTCAAAAAGAAGAGTAGGAAAAAGAAATTATCCTCTGAAATTGTATAATTGAAATCATAATTAAGATGTAAGATGAACTAGAAATCACATAACAGCTTTTGATATCACATCTGAGAAACTTCTGTTAAATTGTGTCTTTACTATAGAAAAAGTTCTTGATAGAGCGGAATGAAAGAGAGGAGCTGTGTGGTCAATCCGATCTAAGTAACAAGGCTTTGTTGAATTGAGTTGGGTATATTTGAAAGTGATACGTGTTTAATTGTTTGGGAGAGAATGTTGTGTGCATCTATGCATGCAAAAGTTGATAGACAAATTTGATAGCAAGGTAATGCTAGGTCGAACTGGTTAGTAGTCTGGATGGTAAAAAATGCTACATTGTGAGAATTAGCTTGGTAAGCCACCTGATATTGGACCAGACGTATTTATATCATTATGCTCTTGTTTTGTTCTTTGTTTATTTAAATTAAGATCCACATTCAATAGTCATAGTCAAAACTTTATTATAATATGCAGGTTTCCTTGAATCATTGTGGAGGGACATAGACATGAAGAGGCTCCAACATGACAAATCCGATGAACTTAATCTGGTCATCGTATCCCATGGACTTGCTATTCGTGTCTTTCTCATGAAGTGGTTTAAATGGACTGTCGAGCAATTTGAGTACCTGAATAACCTGGGAAACTGTGAGTTCCGAGTGATGCAGCAAGGCTTCAGTGGAGAATACAGCCTAGCAGTCCATCATACTGATAGAGAAATGCTAGAATGGGGCCTTTCCCCTGAGATGATAGCTGATCAAAATGGGCGAGCACATGCTAGTCGAGGTGATTGGATTGAGAAATGTTCGTGGTACCTGGACACATTCTTCGATCAGTACGCAGACTCAGATGCTGAAGAAGACTGAAAACTTAATGTTATTTGACCAAGAGTAGCTGCTTGAGAAGCTGGGTGGAGATCGTTCTTATTTTTAATTTTTTGTAAATGAGTTTGTGATTTGGTCAATTCATATTGCATATGATAGGATACTCCGGTGTTCTTTATTCTGCTATACTGATTATAACATATAGGATTTGAGTTCAAGGTGAAGGATAGAAATTGATCTCAATAATAGTAATGCTTTTATGTATGGACTTATTTCCTGGTATGATATCAACGGCATTGATTCCAAGAAGATATTTGCCTGCCATATTTGGTTTATGAAATCAATTGTTTATTGATCAACAAGAAAAGAGTGTATTCTTGTAAAGGTCAAGGAAAAAACGAGTACAAACAAATTCATAGGCAATTGCCACGATTGTGGAAGACAGGACAATGTTGAGAGATGGAACCAATTAAGAGAACTAACTTTTAAAAGGAGGTTCAAGCTAATGTAACAAAATCGAGTATCCGAAGATATGTAAGATATGAATTCTTTGCCCCGTCGTCTGCATGTAACATAGCTGAGAAGGTATTTTAAGGAAAAAATAGAAAGAACAAAATTATGTTAGACTGACAATTTCACTTCAGTGACTAACATTACCGTCAACATCATTGACAAAGCATTATTGTCGATAATAGTTGATAAAGGTGTGCGGTGATCATCAACGTTATAGTTGTCGATTGTTCTATCTAAATATCAAAAAAATATATTGATTTCAAGAATAACCAACAATCATATCATTGGCCATTATCGACAAAAAATTTCATCGATGAATAATCACTAAAAAAATTGTGTGGGTGATTTCCAAAGGGATCACTATCGGCAACTACGTTAGAAGTACCAACTTTTATTGATTGAGGTATTGACCATTGTTTGGAAATAGGGAAATACCACTTAATGGTCGTTGTAAAATATCCCTTTAGTAAATGATCACTTATTGTGAAAACAATCATACTACATGTACATCATTTTTGATATTGTGTCACGTGACAACATACCATTGGACAATTTAAAAGAAACGCACTTTCCCTCCCATGGCTTTTTGAACTCCAATGGGATGTAAACTACTTTGTCAACAAAACAATGTACAAATAACATTACTGTTGTCAAAATTATCAAAATGGTCTTAAGTGAAGCTATTGAAAACACTCCTAATTTTATGGTTTTCAAACTTAACCATTACTTGGTATGAGCATAACTTTTAAGGTAAATCTTAAAAGATTTAAAGACAATATTCATTTAATTTCGATTTCGCAAGACAGTTGGCTAGTATATTAGATAATTCTAAGTGTGTGTTTGTCTCCCATTAGTGTAGAAGAAATAGAGTAATGAATAGTATTTTTTAGAGAATGTGTGGTTGAAATTTAAAGTAACTTTATTGGTTTGTGTTGCGTTTTTTCTATCGCAAGTGTACGATATCGTAACAACTAACAAGTAGTAAAGTGGACATTTGAGTCGGGATTATCGTTCCCATGAGAATTATACTTTAGTCTTAATCTACTTTTATTAATTCTTATTTGATGAAAGTAAACAAATAAAGTATGGTAAAAGTTGTGAAAATTATTTTTCTTTTATGAACTAACTATCTAAAACTAATGGAAAGTATAAAAAGATTTCAAACGATGATTGATAGAAAATTAGAATACATAATGAATATTAGGGCAAAACAAGTTTATCTAATGATCACCTCAATTCTTAATTCAAGATTCTAGCATAATGTAGTGTTCGGTCGAATTCTCCTATGATATTCAATTTACCCCACTCGAGTTCTCATTAAACCTATTTAACTAATTCAATTCCATATCTCTACGTGAATTACCCTTAGTTAAACAAGTTATGTCATTAGGAATTCATATCACGACCGCAGTACTAGGTATATATATCTCTACACGTTATACTTCGTTACCGAATTTTATTATACGTTCTAAGTCTCAAACTCACCTCTCGATTCGTAAGAAACTCAATTGATCATTAAATTATTGATCAAGTAATTCAATGCATTGCAATCATAATAAAATCAACACATGGAAGAATAAAATACATAATTCTTGAGTTAAAGAACTAAGGGTCTCAATAGATTACATTGTTTGCCCTAATAAGGAATTTAATTGTTCATAATGTAGAAATAAACACTAAAAGTAATGGAATACATCACCGAATTTTAATAAAGATGTAGAAACGAATTAAATCTTGCACCAAGATCTTCTTCTACTTCCAGTCAACCCTTTAAACTCGAATCCCGTGATGATTCTCGTCTTTGAATTGGGCTCTTCGATCTCCCATTGTATCCCCCTTTCTCAATGTTTGGAACCCACTTTTCAATGAGTGCGAACCCTTAATACATGTTTTCTTAGGTTTATTTATACTTTCCTACACGTTCTTGGCCAATTTGGAATCTTTTTGTGGGGTTTTGCTGCCCAAAGAATAAAAACCTAAAATATGTGGTGGCGCGCAGCGCCTTGGCGCTTCCATTCTGTTAAAAAAATCGAATTTGGGCACTATGTTTGTAGCGTCTGGGCGCTGAGTTGTTGTTCACTTTGCGTCTGTTTCAGTATTTTTGTCATAACTTTCTCTCTCGATATTCGATTGAGGTAATTCAAGATGCGTTAGAAAGTTAACTCAAAGGGCTACAACTGTTCTTCAGAAATCGTCTTCAAATTCAATCGTTTGCTATGTCAGATATAGATCACAATATGAGTCTAAAAATCGATGCATAACTCTTTCAATCCTAAATTGATGTGTGATCATATTTTGATGATATTTTATCCCTTTGACGTCTTCCTTTATCCAATTGACTCCTAATACTCTCGAATCTTCATCGTGAGGTTCTACACAAATTTTGAGCATTTGCACTTCAGTCCCCAAACTTTGGATCTTGCCTCTTTTTCGCCAATTTTGCATTCTTTTCTCCAATTATTCATCATCTATCGAGTTTCACCTAATAACACATTATATCATAAATTAGGCTATAATCTCATTAAAAGAACCACAAAATGTCATAATTTGGAGTCCGGATAAGTGTATAAAATGCACTTATCAGTTTGTGTGTAAAATATTTTATTGGGTGAATGTGTGGTTGAGAATTTTACTGTAGCAAACAATGTTCTGAAATAATGGGAGACAAACGGTATCTTGAAAGATACTTTGATTTATCAAGATCTATCTTTATTAGTTGAACTATCTACGTTGGTCTGGCAAAGTATCTCGGGAAATCGATAGTAGATGAATCTTGTTTTGAAGAATTTCAAGATTTGCCTTAAAAATTGTGTACCCACCAAATAACATTTATGGTTTTTGTCAACAAAAGGGAATACAATTGACAATTAACATATAAAAGTGTTTGCTAATTTTCCAAAAGGGTGGCCATTTTTTCCTCTCCAAAACTAGTAAAAATGAAGAAAATGTCGTCATAACAAGAGAATATTACTTGCTTAGCCTATAGTATCTATCTGAAGGTGGCATTTATTTGAAAAGTAAAAAAGGCCCCTTCAGTTCTCAATACTGTTAAATAAAAGAACTAGCTCAATTTTAAAATAACTTAATTTTTATTTCTGAATAACTTCAATTTGACTTATTTTTTGCAGGTTGAAATTGCATATCCAACTCAAAGAAGAAGATTTGGGTTTTGTTATTGTTGTAAATCTAGCTAGTGGTCCACTGACAAAGATTGATCTGAGCATCGCTTAATTTACACAATAACTGAGAACTTGAGTGATATTTTTGAGATCTACNTGGTTGGTGGGAAATTCCTCTGTCTGGATTGGGGTTTCGGTGGCTGCCATAGAAGAAGGTGGTGGGTGGAAGGAGGCTAGAAGCTATGGACGTGAATCCAGATCGTGCGTGGCTCTGATACCATGTCAGTTTTCATTCACTGTATTCACCATATTATTTTATTCATAGGGATATTGTGTACATATATACAGAGATTTGATATGCTATTCTTGGCTATACAGATTTTAGGACTAGAATCATGGGTGACAGCTATGACTATTCCTGTAATCTTTCTAATTTGATTATTAATTGACGACTCACGCCAACAATAACATTTATGGTTTTTGTCAACAAAAGGGAATACAATTGGCAATTAACATATAAAAGTGTTTGCTAATTTTCCAAAAGGGTGGCCATTTTTTCCTCTCCAAAACTAGTAAAAATGAAGAAAATGTCGTCATAACAAGAGAATATTACTTGCTTAGCCTATAGTATCTATCTGAAGGTGGCATTTATTTGAAAAGTAAAAAAGGCCCCTTCAGTTCTCAATACTGTTAAATAAAAGAACTAGCTCAATTTTAAAATAACTTAATTTTTATTTCTGAATAACTTCAATTTGACTTATTTTTTGCAGGTTGAAATTGCATATCCAACTCAAAGAAGAAGATTTGGGTTTTGTTATTGTCGTAAATCTAGCTAGTGGTCCACTGACAAAGATTGATCTGAGCATCGCTTAATTTACACAATAACTGAGAACTTGAGTGATATTTTTGAGATCTACAATGGAGATACTCTCCTATGACATTTTTGCTCGTCAACTCAATGAAGTCGAGCAGTTTTCCCTGCCCTCTAAAAGTAAACTGCATTATCTTGTATTTGCCTTCTACATCAATAATTTGACATATAAATTGTTGTGAATCAGACAAAGGTTCAACTCCTCAAAGGTAGAAGCAGCTCAGGTGTTTCCCTCGATACAGAAGCCATGAGATTCTTCCTCAATGCCACTAAGTCTTCTCCTGCATTGCATATATATGCAGAAGCTTGTCTGCCCGACAGAGTCGCTCCTTCCATGCTGTCGATGTAATCCTGGCAATCACACAGCATTTGAATCAAATATGTTGATTTTTCATGTCTTTACAATGTCCATGGACATTTATAGTACCTAGAATGACTAGAACCAAGAGTTTGTCTTCTGTATATTGTTGAAGGAATAGCTCCTAAAAGTTCTGCCCTTATTTCATTCTAATATATTTTCCTCAAATATAAACATCTATTTCAATGATGACTTTGGTCCCTGAACATTAAAATTACAAACTATATTCACCCAACGATACACATTATTTATTCCCACATGGAACGATAAGTGGAGAATCTTGTAATGTAACAGATATGTGGAAAGTAGTGTTACCTGTTTCGTATAGGAACCAGCAAGGAAGAAATTTGGCACAGGCGTCTTCTGATCAGGCCTAAATGGATCTGTACCAGGTGCTTCACGATATAGTGATTGCCCAATTTTGACAACTGAAGCCCAAGTGACTTCAAGACCTTGTGAAGAAGGAAATAGAGCCAGAACCTGATACCATAAAACAATATTCTTCATCCGTTAATGATCTAATAAATGGATGATATAAGATGCTTTTAGCCTCAGCTATTTAAGACCACTTTACGTTTTATACTTAAAAGCATTTCACAAAATCATGTTCTAATCCTCTTTTCTTCTCTTTCTCCCCACCTATAATGGGACAAATTTCTTTTATTTCCACTTCTAATTTTCCGGGAAGGATATCAGGGGAGTTGCAGTTACTGTCGAGTTACACTTCCAGTCTAGAATTGATACAAGTTTGTCAATAGAAGTATATTGTTTCATAATTGTCTCCCACACATATTCTCTGTTTCATCTAAGAAAGAACAACTTAATGATAAAATTTTGTAGTGAGAAGTGCAATTACATACATTGTTCGAACACATTACTATAACCAATTAAATATTTTTTGTTGGCTTTGTTGGACTAGAAGAATGAAGTGGTAATTTTCTACTATTAGTAAGAAAGGAGTTTCCAGCTTTGACTAATGCAATGCCCGAGTTCTCGAGGAATGAAGGGATAAAATCCAAGTAGCACCAACCTGCTTTGAAACTCTCTTTATAATTTCATCATTCGGTAAAGGCATGTATGGGTTCCCAGGTGTAAGCACGCATCTGTAAGCAACCACCGACAACAAGGGTGTTATAGATGGAAAAACAATCATCAGTAGTCACTAGACTATAACTCATAATGGCATGAATATGTGCTAGATAAGCACAATGATCTTGTCATTTGAACAGATACAGAAAAAACACTATGTTCTTACTGGAGCAATGAGCCTTGACCCTCAAGATAATAATCTTCAGGAGATGTGAGTGCAAGGTCTGCAAAGCAAGAAAAATCTGCATCCGGTGTGTAGAGGAGATTATCCAAGCCAGCCGCTCGTCTTAATTGCCTGGCCATCACATAATAGGTAGTTAATTTGCATTTGCATATCACATGAAAATAGATGTCCCTCGGCTAAACAGAAATTTAATTGCTGAATTTAAAATCTTCACCTTGCACGTTCCAGGTCCTGCAACTCTGTAACCCAACCATTATAACGAAGCTGCACTGTAACAACAGGTACTCCTACTAGTTTATAGATATTATCAAAGAATTTCAATTCCCTCCACTTCTGTGGAAGTAATCTTTTAATTCCTGGGACATCACAAGCTGTAATCACAGAGAATTTTAGCTTTATACGAGTTTAGCATCAAGGTAGAAAGGGATGTGGGGGTGGGTGGGGAGTAAAATAGAGAAAGTACAGGTCTGGATTATAACCTGCTACATAAGCATCAGCTTTTACAATTTCCTTTTGAGTAGCCTGAACAATAGGTACCCCCTAAATTAGTGTCCATACCTTGCCTAACATAAACAAACATGCTCACTCCATGCGCATGGCCGCATGGGTCAATACTGAATATGAAACAGCATACATTCGCAGAGTGATGGTTCATTATAACATGAAAAATATGGATTCCACATATCAATTGCTTCATTTCTCTATTTGTAATTTAATTCATCAGCTTATAAAAATGAGGACAAAAAGTATATGCATATAATTTCAGTTGATCATGCAAAATATTTTAAAGATGTATAGTTGTGGGGATTAACAAAGTCAACATATTCCAAGCGTCTATTTACAAACTTAAATAACATAGACATGCCAGAGAAGAACCCATCATTCGCAATACAGTGCACTTTGTAAAGCGATCACCTAATGAAAACAAGAAATATCACGTCGTTAATAGGAAAGCATTATCAAAATAACATACAATAATACTTTTTATTTTTTAAGAAGTTGATTATTCTTATAATCAAATTATTATTTTGTGGACTACTAAACATCCAGCACTTTTTGAGAATTTAAACCAAAATGATATCACTTGTAATTATATACTTCTGTGTGAGCGGAGACAAAATTAACTTGGGGAAACAGAAGGAAAGATATGTGACACATTGATTAAACTGAAGGTTCATGAAAAGAACTAACATTTTAAGATCACATTGGTTGATTTTGCCACTCCATTTCCTTCTTAAAGATAATTGATTTGTCACAACAAAAGATTCTGACCAGGCTTACAAATTTTAAAAGGATCAGAACAAGACACTCGTACCTTGGACATGGCAAGTCCTGTTACATATATCCCCCCATCAGAAGATCTATCATAGAGAACTTCTCTGCATCCCCACCTCAGATGGAACCTGTTCCGGCATAGAAATATAAAGAATGTAAGAGAAAAATAAATATCAGAAACAGAAATAACATCATTTTTATTTACTTTCACAACCATATATGCAGTCATACCTGCCTCCCTTGTCTATAATATACTTTTTGATGGGGCCACTCAAATAGATGTCAGGAGAACCTTTAAGCATGCGTAGCAGGGAAGCCTCAGTTTTAGTTGCAAACAATGAAAATATAGTGAGCATACAGCGGGCACTGATATTATCACAGTCAATGAATCCAAGGGCATAAGCAACAGGATCCCACATTCTCTGGATACTCGCACGTGTCCCTCCTTTGGATAAGAACCAATCGGAGAAGCTTATCTGTTATAAATATTCAGCCAATTTAACAAGAAACGTATGGCAGAGAAACTTTTCCTTGAGAACAATGGCAGCAAATCAAGCACCAGAAGATGAGAACACGAAATGCTAATACTATGAAGAGAATACAAACATTATCCAGATCCCGTATCTGCCTCATTGCTCCATCTGGATCAACAAGTGCCCTAACAACTGGACTAAGGGCAAGAGCCACAGCATTTCTTGCTTTATCATAAGTCTGCAAATCAAAGTTAGAATACATTTAGATGATCCCAGTGAATTAAAAAAAAAATGGAACACTATATCAACTGTCTAACACACAGCAATACGTGATAGGGTAAAGATTTTCCACGTCTTCCGCTTTATAAACAAATAAAAGCATTATCCAGAGAGAATATCGCAATGTATGAAATTGGTTGCACCAAGAGTAATTACATTAAAGTCTGTAAGACATTTGAAGCTGAAAGTGACTTTATGCATTTCTCACAATGGCTCATACTCGAATCAAACCCGAACTAAAACCCGCAGGAGATTCCAAGTCACTTATTGATGCTCTCCTTAAGACATATTTGTCCCCACTACCAGTGATGCACACGGGAAAGCAAAATTTTGACTCATGCACTAACGAAAACAACCCCGACCACCAAGGAGAAAAGAAGCAGCCATATGAGAGGCTCGTATTTTTTTAGATCCGGATTAACAAATTTTTAAGAAATGAAATGAAATGCGTGAACTTTTTAATGCAAGAATAAGAGGACATGGAGGATAAATCATAATCTCAGATTTTTCAAATGATCCATCAATCTATTATAGATTGTTGTTACAACCCTTACAAAAGTTTACATCTCTTCATTTGAGTCAAAACCTTTCATTTTTGAATTAAATAACTGATTTAGGATGAAAGGGACAAAAAGAATTGTGTAAAAGCTTGAATAGGTGCAAAAGCACATGTTCATGTTCGAAAAGTGCTGCGGCAGAAGCAAGCTTACTGATGCTGCAGTGCAACCTGCCAACCACCTCAAGGTCGCAGTGCGACTGCAGCGAGCTTGCTGCGGTCACATGCTGCCGACTGCGGCCTCTGCTCACTTCCGACCTCCGCTCCCTTCATTCCGTCCCTTTTGTATCTTCGTTCTAACCATGAACCATGACTCAAGATACGACTTACAATGTCAAAACAACATCTATAGAAAATCTCTCCAACAATTCTCCACCATTTTCAAAAATTGACGTTTTGAGAAAAACCCTCATAGTGGCTTCACAAAACTTGTGCATCGATGAAGGTGTCTTTTACACTTGAACCTCCACCTAGTAAAAATACATCAAATGTTAACAAAGGTGACATGGTAGACAAGCTTTGAACTAGCGACCCTATGCGGCTAACAGGAAAACTTCATGCACTAGCTTCCAAATCCTTACGTGTTTATAATATACCGACATGTGAATATGCCATGTGTCTTTTATAACCACGCGCACCAATAAAAGAGAATACAAGGCAGCAGGGTCATGGGAGTGAAGACAAAAAAAAAAAAAAAAACAGTCCCCAAGAGAGGGAGGGGGAGAGAGAAGAAAGTACGGAAAGAGAGACAAAGAAAAGACAAATGCATTGGGTGTTTTAGTTTTGTGTAGAGAGAAGTTGAGACAGTTATATGAAGTTATGTAGTTGAAGATTTAATTAGTAAGTTGTTTCCCTCTCTCCCGAGGGCGCAGGCAAATTCGCTGCACCACACAAATCCATGTTTCCTCTCGTCTACTCGATTTTCTTTTCCACTGTGTTCATTAGTGTGTTGCGGCAATTCCTTCCCAACAGTTTCCGAGATTTATTAATCCCTCGCGTTCTGCAGATATTCTGAGCTATTTGAGGAATCGTTTTTCACTTCCTTTACCCATTATGTACTACAAGAAGATTGGAACAGGGCAGAAGAGGATGAGCAAAAAAAGAAAAATGCCTTTCCTTTTATCTCTGGATTTTTGGGAAATAACTTTTCCCCGAGTAAATTCAAAAGAGACTATCTACCTAACATTTTAGAACAAGATCGCAGAGAAGAAACTAAAATGATAACAATTTATGGACTCGTGCACTGGGACGGGAAGATACAGGGATTCGACTAACTTTTCAACTCCGAATAACTGTTTTAAGATAAATTTCTGATGAATTCCAGTGTGAATATGGAGCTTTAATTTCTGCATATTCATGATTGTGGCCGGGATCGTAGGAGGTAAGAGAAAAGAACATAATATGCTACACCACTGAAAGAGAACAAAAGCAGATTTTGTTTTCCAATGTCTTAACAGAAATCTTACCGGGAGGGACACTAAAAATGCAACTCACCTGGAAAGTAAAAGAAATATATAATGCAAATAAAGAAATGTGACTTGTAGAAATGCTTCAACAGTTCTCAAAATGAAAGACCATGTGCTCCTTTCGAATATAAAGTACGAAATACAGAATGAACAAGTACTGGTATTAGACATTATAATCAAGATGGTGAACTTGTCAACTGACTCCACCCCCAACAGGAGGTAAAGGTTCAGATACAACATTAGAGGAAGCAAACAATTCCAGGTACAGTATGCCCATTTAAATAGTGAAAATGAAAAATAGAGTCGTTCTTCACAGACTGAAATAGTCGACAATCAAAATGCAGAATAAACATTCAGAAGACAACACAAACCATCTACGAAATTCTATTACCTTGAGCTGATTTGTTGACAAAAATGCACCTATTCCATGTAATGGTGCTCCAAATGGAAAACGAAAATCAAGTTCTGCAGTAAGAGTTTTCAATTAGACATACAATGTTTTCAATTCATACATGAACGAAGTATCAAACATTGACAATAGATGTTTGCATTTTGTCAAGGAAATATTATCATACCGCCTATTTCACCCCCACTGTTAACAAAAGTATGAGTATGATCCTTCACAAGCAAATTTTTGTCAGCACCAACCTATGGCAAAGCAAAGAAAAATAATCAGAGACCATCAAACTTCAATTATTAGATGAATTCATCAATTTGCAGAAATCACCAAATATCACAGCTATGCATAATTTGATCTTGGCATGACTGGTTGATACATATAGCCAGACCATTACCACCGCCCCCATGATGTATTTAGCAAAACTCATTTAAAATCAATGAGCAATCTTCTCAAAAGTTTTAGTCTCAACCCATAGAAGAGAATAACAAATGTTGCTATTGAGAGAAGAAAGCAAAAGCATGAGGGCAAAAATTATTAATTTTAAGTTCATCAAGGAGTTCAGTGGAAGATGGCGCCATAACACCCAGATTTCAGTCCTGTCAAGCATGGCCATTCAATATTCCTTGATACGGATGAAGAAAATTCGATGCATTAAATTTGGTATTCAGAAATTAAGCCATGAAAGTGGCTTATCAAAAAAGTAGTAACATTTTCTATGGTAAATACAATGGCATAAAATGATCCTGCTGAATAAGTAGGAGGCTTTATATGACCTGTATCAGCCATATGTTATTTGCAGTCACGTTGTACCTGAAGTCATATAATCTATTTCACTCATCTCATTATAGAAACTATTTCTTCTTTCCTATTTTTGCTAATAGTCCCAATTACAAAAATATCTCTGAAACTAACTAAATGATGTACCTTCTTGTATGGTAGACAAAGATCAATGGTTCAGATGGATAGAAGTATCCACATATAACCATTTTCTGGTTATTAGCAAAAAAAAATCATGAACTTACTTACAAATGTTGGGGACAAATTTTCCTTCAGAAATTTAGAAGGTGGGGGGACCATTGTTATTATTTGGATCAGTTTATTTGGCCTTATAATTAAGTACTCTGTATGTATGTGTATGAGAAAACTAGCTGTAATTACCTTTTTCATCAAACGAAAAAGATTATTGTAGCAACCAAAGAAAACGTGGAGCCCCATCTCAATATGGTTTCCACGTTTGTCAACAAATGAGCCCACTTTTCCCCCAATGAAAGACCTTGATTCATATATATCCACCTGCAAATATCAGAGCATGAAAGTCAGTATATTTTCATGCAGGGAATACATAGACTACTTCAATAGACTGATTCGAGCAGGAAAAAATGATATTCTTATATCCTGCATTAATAAATCCTGTAACTATGATGGAAATTGCATATTCCATTTGCACTTCCATGTCAATTTTGTAGTCAATATAAACACTGCAGGTGGTCTGATGATGGATGGACATCACTAATATTAGCATTTTGTTTGTTTATATGTTTATTTGTTACTTGTTATCATCAACACTTTGCTCCTTTTTGCAGGGTCAGATCAGTACCTCATGGCCTTGATCCAAAAGCTCCACTGCTGTTGACATGCCGGCAAGCCCAGCTCCAATAATAGCCACTTTTAGCTTGGGGCCCCTGTAATGTTCAGGTTCCGGTGGAAACAAACCTTTTGGAGCTGCAAGGTGTAGCAGTAATTTTAGTAAATGAAAATAAATTCCAGATTTTTCTAAATTATTTAATAAGTCTCTAGTCTCTAGTCTCAGTCTCAGTCTCAGTCTAGAAATCAAACTCATACATGATGCACTTGATCATGGCCGGAAAATACATGGAACAGGGTAAATTTGTCCAGTTAGCTTTCCAACCGGGTACTTAGAGCATGTTTGGCTAAGCCTTAAACATAAGTAAAGTTTAGACACTTATTGAGCCCAAAATGTATTAATAACTTACTTTTCATAGTAAGCAAGTAACTGATTTCTAACTTTCACCAATAAAAAAATTATTTACTTTAAAACTTACTTTAATAAAACTATTGTTAAGCTTAGACAAACATGCTCTTAGCTCACGTTGGTGAACAAGTTCTCATACACCCAAAACTTTATATACAAAAAGAATAGCCTAACAACCGACCAAAATGAAAATAGCATAGATTTCAATTTAATAACCAAATTTCAAAAAGCACAATTTCAAAGGAGCGGTGAAATTGATGAAAATTACCGTTAGTGCTCATGTCAGAAACATTAGAGTCCAAATCAGAGCGAATTATGAACCTCCGAGTCCTCAACTGAGTGGACGACAAACGCCTGTTACATAATCCGGCAGACCCAGTTCGAAAACCAGTCCGGTTTCCATTTGCTGGAAGACAAAGAGAAGCAGAAGAAGAAGCCATGTAGCTGATACAAATGCGTACAGATGTAAAAAAAACTGAAATTGAGGTAACTGAATTGAGAGAAAAGATTGTTTATTGAATAATTTAGGAATGAAGACAGATTATAATAAGAGAAGAATGGATGAAGGTGGTTTTGGGGTATCTGAATAAGAGGAGATGCTGAGAGTGCTCAATTTGTCATCACATTATAAGAATTGGAGGGTAGAGAGTGGGAATGGCTTTTTCGGTGCTCTTTTGTATTTTTTATTGGTTGGTATCATTGTCGTTTCAATATTGGTAGCAACGAAAAAAAAAACATATTTTTAAAGTAATAAGTCTTTGTTTGGGAAGGATAACTTAATTTTTTCTTATTTTTAAAGTAAGTCTATTTTGACGAAAATTTATAAATAGATAGAAACGAGTGATGAACAAGTGAATAATGTTTAATCATATATTGAAATCTGTTGTTAAAAATGAAATTTGATCATTTATAAATTAGCCAAACGGAGACTAAATAAGTTCATGTTTATAAATTGTTTATAAATATTCAAGTTACGTTTTATCTTTATATTTTAAAAGGCCTATGAAAAATATCCACGACTAATTTTTATGTATTTATAATTTAAAACGTTTATAAAAACTTCCCGAACATGCTTGGTAAAAATTTTTTTGTGGTCCCTATACTTTTAGAAAAAATCAATTAGGCCTCTTCATCTTCATGATAATATTTCAAAAATATCACAAACCTCTCATATTTTTAGATTTTGATTATTATGTACACTCTTGCAACTTTTTTATTCATATATGATATAAAATGAGGCGGATGTACTCAAAATGCACTTGTAAAAAAGATGGTATGATTTAAAATGAGGCAGGTGTACTCAAAATGCACTTGTAAGAAAGATGGTATGATTTAAAATGAGGCAGATGTACTCGAAAATCATATGAGTTTAGCCATCACACTGTGGACAACTTCAACAAATACGATCGACTAGTTAAATGCTTAAGAATGATACTTAACTCGAATTAAGTAGAAATCATTAAGGGCGGAGAATTCATCTCCCAACCATCTAAACTCCGTCAATGAGAAAGAAGATAAGATAGAGTAGGTGGCAAAAACATGACCTAGGTAGTCATTGAGCCATCGTGCCAGCCTAATCCACCAATAAAAAATCATTGATGTGACAAGCTAGGAATGCCTAAGTGGACATATAATTGTAATTTATTTTCCTATATAATGGGGATCATTCTTCATCTGGCATTGAGAATCATATTCTCTTTTATTGATGCACTTTAAGCTTGCATACCTCTCCTTCAGTCGAACGAACCTCAAATTTCGACATCATCTCTTCTTCAACTTTTTCGAATTTTCCTTTAATTGAATCGAAAGACACCATGTCATTTTTTGCATCAAAATTTCTATTCATATCCACTTGGTTATTCTCCACACTGCTAAATAAAAAAATTAAATACGAATTTTACTTCCAACAAATTATATATATTAAATAAGGATGAAATTATTAAGAGAACAAGTACTATTTGCAGCTTCATTACCTTAGTTTTTTACAAACCTTAAATCTCTTTACTTTCATCGTTGTCACTATGTTCTCTTTACCGTTTTCAAGTCGTTTTCCGTTTTCGATTTTCCAAAACGGTGAAAACGTGTTATCTTTCTCATTTTCGAAAATGCGTTTTTGAAAACAAGTAAAAAATTTACAAAGAAAACCCAATTCAAAACACGTTTTTGGTGTTTTCAAAACAATTTTTCAAAATGTCAAAAAGAACACATTTTCAACAATTTCAAAATGGACACTCAAAACACAAAACTGAAACACAAAAAGAACAACCCCTTATATTTTCATTTGCAGTTAAACCTGAGTATTCTATTTTCTATATATTGCTAGAGAAGGTTTTGCATCTAGTTAACTTGAGTTATTGAAGAATACAACGTTTTCCCATGTTTATAGTGTTTTACGTAAATATTGTAGAAAGTTCGAGTAAAATTCTACTTAGTACTGCACTAGACCTCGCTCGATAGCTCAAGCCTGACTGTAAGGATCTATGTTTGGCCAATTTTGTTATAAATGTATGAATTGTATGTGTGTCTCCTAGACGAATTATGGATATTCATTGATGCATCACATTATACTTAGCATCAATTAGATTTTGATTAAAAAAAATGTGTATCCAACACTTTAATTGACCACGATCCTATAATGAAGTTAATGAATTTAACACGAACCTAATTGTATACAACGTATCTTCCAAAAATTTGAGATGTGACAATTGAGATACTCTCTCTCATCATGAGACGAAGTATAATGGACAAATATATCATGTATTACCTTCTTTAATTGTGTTACTCTCGTCCAATATTCCATATGTCAAATGTGTCCTAATCGTCCTACTCATAATTTTCATAAAAAGAAGAATTAATTTCTATCAAATCTATACATAATGTCATATCAAGGGCTAATGAAATTTTTTATTGCCATTAAAACCACATTCAACAATTGAAATTTAATGTAGAGATGTGTAAAGTATTCAAACATGAATGAGTTGAGAGTTCTGCAACTGTTTCACTGTGGAAAAGAGAATGAAGTTCACTTAATACAATTGAAATTTGGCCTTAGTTTTTTCGAACACCTGCTCTGCTATGATGGCCTCTTTACCATCGGCTCTTTTGATCTCCAAATTAGCCTTCTGATAAAACCCAGTACCTCTCAGTGCATCTGCAATAAAATCATCAAATCCGATGGCAATCGCAGCTTCTGCTTTGGCTCCGTAAACCAACCTCTGGTTGAAAAAGCAAACAGAAGAGAAGAAAACACAGGGAACGTGACTTAAAGCTCCAAGGACATGTTTGGTACGCAATATTTAAAAGGCTTGTACGATTCTTCTTTTCCTTTAATATTGTCCCGCACTAGCCAATCCAACTAATCAAACATGTCATTCTGGTTGAAAAATGATAGTATGAAATAAAGAAGGTGATTCAGTGATGGAACCTTAATTCTTGAGAGATGGATGGCACCAAAGCACATAGGACATGGCTCACACGAAGCATAAATCTCACAATCAGAGAGCTCAATTTTGCTTAGCTTTTTACATGCCTGGAGATGGATCCATTGCAAGCATGAGATGACATTTTAAAGAGTGATAATGATATAAATCAGCTAAGCATAAAATCGGGCAGCAAATGGATGACATTTTTGCATATGAAGAACATTGACCATCAAATGCAGGTTTAGACAACATTCAATTCTCTCCTATAAGAGCATGGCAGTAACCAACGTAGCAATTGCAACATCAGAAAGGAGTTTATATCCTTTTGACATTAAAATAAACAGTTATCCGTTAAACCTAGATCTCCGTATTTCTCTTGAAGGAAAAACAAAGAAAAAGAACAAACTCATTTGAAAGCCTTTCATTTCTTCTAATGCCCCATCCAGATAACTTTTCTTCAAGCTACTAAGTGAAGAAAAGGCATCCTTCTAATCATTACGAGTTTATGACTTGCCCAAAACTCGATAGTATTTATTTATGTAGAGCATAATTTTATCAAGCTTCCTCCAGCCTCAAAGTTTTCCATCTTATCTGTATACGAGTATCCATCGTGTATTTTATTGTCATCAATTAAAAATTCATCTTTTCCATGTTTAGTGAAGATCCAACAAGAATAAGATTACTTGAAGATTTCTCATCACCAGATAAACTAGAGCATAAAAACCATTCAGAATGAGCTAATTATAAACCTAATGCCTGACGCACTACTGTATCATAAGTATATAACGGGGAGATGAAGGACTTGCCACAAAAAATTTCAATGATTTATTTTATACAACATTTTTAGCAAAAATGAAAACTCGAGAACCTCAAATAGGGGATACATGCAAAAGCTTTATTGGGCCCTTTCTGCAAATGAACTGTTGATTTAAGGGTTACTTTTTTATCAGTTTGGTGGTTACATTTATACAAGGATGAGTCTGAATCAACAATTGGATCCCCAGTTCCAGAATGTACAATGTGCTAGGTGTCTTAGATGGTATTATAATATCTTAGACATGGCGCCAAAAGCAACTATGAAAATCAAAGAAGTGGTGAATCGGGAATTAAAAAATAGTCAGAAAAACAGGCTTTCATCTTGGTGAATATTGAATATCAGGATAAGTTGAGCAAACATAGTATCCACGTTGCACTTCTTCATAAAAAATCAAACATGACAGGCAACACGAGTTTGTCAAAGTGCACAAATTATGGAGAACTAGATGTCAACCAATCAGTTCCCACAAACTATGATAAGATAATGTTGACCAGCACTAGCAGAAATCAGTCAGAGAATAGTCTAGAAAAAAAATACGTAAATGAGCGAATGGTATCCATTAACATACAAGAACATCAAATGATCATGAAAAAATAAGTCAAAAATAAAACTCAAAGCAGGTTTATTTTCAGCCTGAATCATGAGAAGAGAGAGCTAGTGCCATGCTTCCATTTAGACTTGGGTACAGCATATAAAAATTCTGCTCATGGTTATCCATAAAAAAAATCAGGAAAATTAGCAGATTGATTCCCAAAAAGGTTTTTACTTTCTCACAACATAACAAAAAATTTGTATCCCTACATTAAAAATTATACAATAGTATATATTGTTCAGCTGCCTAAAATTGCAAGGCCCCTCTATATAGAAAAAATCAGCCACTAGATGTAACAATCATGTGTCATAACTATTTTGTGGATGGGAACCCACAATATTCAGATGCACATTTGACTATTCATGAGAACACTTCAGCAAATTGGAAAAGGCATTGATCACAAAAACTCTAAAGAACAGTTACCCCCTGAAAGAAATTGGAACTTTAAATAATTTAGACAATTCTAACCTCTCTTATTGCTGTAACCTCAGCATGAGCTGTAGGGTCAGTGTGCTTCAAAACCATATTGTGACAGCTTGCAACAACTTCATCATCGCGAACAACTACTGCACCAAAAGGGCCTCCATTTCCACAGTCCACTCCTCTGTAGGCTTCTTCAACTGCCTTTGTCAAGAATTTGTGGTCTCTATCCTGAACAGCTGCAACAATCACAAAAGTAGATAAAAATGATTACTATTAATTTATATGTCCACAAGTTTTAAAAAAACACAGCACAATTCAAGGAGTGAAATCTTAAGTACGACATCTGAAGAAGAAAAAATGCAGATGGGATATCAATTAACCATGAGAACATCTAAAGGTGCTATTTCTATTGCAGCTGCTACTAAAAAAGCCAATTTTGTTGTCCACAGCAAATATCGAGAAGCATTATATATAAAAAGGAAAAACGGACACAGAAAAGAAGAATAACGTTGAATGTAAAACAGAAGAAAACATATTCAGATGAACATCTGACTATTACTGAATTCAATAAGAGATTGTCCTGACTAATTCAAATTAGCACCACAAACTGCGTTTCCCAATTTGGCTCAATCCAAGCATATTTCTTCCTTTTAAGAAACACGCCATTGGACATTTTTTTAATATCTTAATTAGTCGCTTCTAATCTTTATCTTTCCCTATTCCTACGATAAAAAGACACCGCTTTTCTTCTTATGGGAGCAATAAGTGGGAGGCCCCATTCCATGGAAAACAATCCTTAGAGACACATCCTATGGCGGTAAAATGTGGGATTGTTTTCTCTTGACGACGTGATCTTTGCCTCCAATCCATTAACGGGAATGTAAATAAACAACAAAAAGATTGTAACTTGACCAATAAAAAGAATTTCACATGTATCCATATCAACTTCATATGAAAACACAGAATGTGGTTGCTAAAAAACTTATTGCATTCCCATAAGAACAGAGAAGACTAATTCAAAACAAGAAATTGAGGTTACCTTCCTGGTGACCAGCAAATGCAGAAGCAACAGAAATAGTTCCATCTTTAGCTTCAACAACTGATATAAGAAAAAGGAGAGTCAGATAAAGCATCAAACGTCTAAATAATGTTCATAATATTCAAAATGACAAAACTTTGCACTAAATTCTAACTAAGCAATAGTCATTTCAAACAGCTTTAGAGAGCACACACAAAGTGAACCTTTTACGGCTTTTGAGCACAATTAATGTGGCAGTACAAGCGAGGTAAATAGCTACATTCTCCAAATTACGTAGCTTGTTGTGGTAAATTACCTATCTAAGATCAAATCCGACTAATCTGATGAGCAAACTAGTAAAATATCATATTAGCATATTCCTCCAGTGCAATCAAATCATAACATAATGAATTATAACTAATTACCAACTATATGCTAAAGCTAAATCCAAGACGATCCCTACTTTGCACAACAATCTCATCAGTAATCACGAAGCAAAAAGCCACTGCAGTAATGTCTATCAAAATTGTACAATGTCTGTTATTATTGAATTTTAACTCATGATTGGGTGGTGCTGGGAGATTATGAGATTTCATCGAAAACCAAGGTTTGTGCTTTTACTTTAATAAGCCCATTATCTTTTTATTGTTAGTTTAGCGTATATTTCAATTGCGATGTCAAATTTTCGATTCGACTGCATGCAACTCACATAAAAAACCATAAACGATCTAGAATAATTATATAGCATTGGATATGAAATAGGAATTGTGAATCCGCTGTATTAATGTAATTCATGAATACATATCAAATTTAGACTATTGAACTGGGATCCAGAAGAAATATGATCTACTTCTGCAGTAAACTGAATCCGTTTTCACATCAAAATACCCAAAAAGGGTTTAGATCCCTAGACGATATAAGAAAGAGAACATTCCATTCCATCTGAAAATTCCGAAAGAAAAAGATCAAATCATCTTGCACATCACCATCGCCCACAAATATAATAATACTTTTGAAACGGAAAAATAGTCAATCACATTCCACATTAAGATAAAAAGAAAATAAATGAATATTCACTAACAAATCAATCAGAATAGTAATGAAAAAATTTAAGAGATTCCTTCCTTACCATTAGCTTCTTCCATGACGAGACTAAAATTCAACAACTGGGTACCGTAGAAATGGATTGGACGAGTAAATAGAGTTGAAGAAGACGTTAAAGCGAGAAAGGGAAAAGTGATAGGTCAGCGTCTCTGTATATATACATAGAAATGTAATTATAGAGTCGGTAGTATATTCACGTGACAGATGAGCCAGAAGGACAACTGTTCATCGACAAAGTGAAATCTGCATGGATTCTTACATCGATTTTTTCGGAAAATTGTGCTAAATTCAACAAATGTCGGGACAGGATTCACAGTATTTGGAAAATGTTGTAAATTCCTCCACCATTGACTCAAGCTCTTTTAATTCTATAAATTCCTATTATTTGTAACATTTGTTCTAAAAAGAGCAGCGCTTATTTGGAAATTGTATGTTTGTAAATGCCTCCATTGACTCAATATTTTTTATTTTTTTAATTCTATAAATTATTTGTAAGTTTGTAACCTTTCATCCTAAAAGTGGCGCCTAGTGTCTAAACACAAAACGGGAGCAAAAAACTTCGGTGGTGTTCTCTTTGTGTTTCAGTTTTGTATTTTGAGTTTTGAATTCATTTTGTGTTTTGTGTTTTGAGTGTCTGTTTTGAAGTTGTTGAAAATGCGTTCTTTTTGTCATTCTGAAAAACTGTTTCTCAAAATAAAATTCTTGATAAGTTCAAAATTAAAACAATGAAGAACGAGAAGGAAAAAAAATCAGGTGGTGTTCTCTTTGTGTTTCAGTTTTGTATTTTGAGTTTTGAATTCATTTTGTGTTTTGTGTTTTGAGTGTCTGTTTTGAAGTTGTTGAAAATGCGTTCTTTTTGTCATTCTGAAAAACTGTTTCTCAAAATATAAAAATGGAAAACGCGTTTACTTTGAAATTTTGAAAATATTTTCTTATAATATTTTATTCAAAAAATCTGATTATTCAATAAATTTTAATAATCATTTGAATGCTTATTATTTCACTTTTTATAACTATTTGATTGCTTAAAAACATGTGAGTATAGTCATTTTGGCAAATTCCCCATCTCGGTTAGGATTATAGTTTTCAATCGTTTTTTTCTAGTTAAAAATTGCAAACACAAGCTTGTTAGTAGTGATTGAGGTGCTATGCCTTCAACTTAAGTTACAAAGTTCAAACCAAATTTGATCAGTTCCATTGCACCTTGGTTTAAAAAATAAAATTGGATAACATGACACCCTAAGTCATGCATTTATTCAAATACAAACTAACAAAACCACCGATAACTTGACGTGATTCGATTGGCACGACCATACCGACCCGACTTGACCCAATACTATACCATTAGCCATCCAAGATCTAAGATAAAAACAAACATATGATGTCACCAAATTTCAAAACCTAAAGGCCAGCATAACGGCAAAGAGGTGCCACTTCTTGGCCCTCGGCTCA